CAACATATGGACTCTCCGCCCAAGGAGATTTTCATTGCCATCTCGTTGGCAACCCGGGGGATTTCATTAGATTTGTTAATGAATTGCTCTATTGACTTATATCTGAGCTTGCCTCATTAGAGGAGAAGAACACAATTTTTTATCTATGTTTTTGCGAAGGGGACCAGAGAGTTCCTTCCTTTGTGGGGCGGTGGGTAATCTTCCGGGCTGTCATCGGCTTTGAACTAATTTATTGTGTCAGTTGAAGAAGGCCCTTCCGTGCTTGTGGAGGCTCGAGCCCACTCCAAGCCTCTTCAAATCAATGTTTTCCTTGTGCGCGGGATGTTTTCTAGGCTCCTGCTTGGTTTACAAATAGCAGAACATGGTGTTGCCCTGGCGTTGTGCGTCTTCAGGGTGCCGGCAGCAAGCTGATTCTGGGAGTCCCTGCAGCATTATCTGTCAGGAAGGGGCTTTTCAAGGCAGCTGTGAGCTTTGGGCAGGGGTTGCCCTTCTGCTTTCTCCACCTACCACCAGTGGCTTGAGCAACGTGCCTTTGTCAACAAGCCGAGGGGCTTTGTGTTGGAGCATGGCTGCCTGAGGCGCACACCCCTCTTCTCTGCCAAGTTGAGAATCCCACAAATTCTTCCCATATCCCAGCCTTATTAGTACTGGCTTGATTGTTTGGGCTTCTCAGTGTTGGAAGACTTGGGTTTTAAAGCCATAAGAGCTATCAATTAACATATTGTTAGGGGTAAACCAATAAAGAACCCATTATGGCTAATAGTGAATGTGGAATCACAAGGAATTAGGAAAATAAGATTCAGTAAAATAGAAACCATAAAGATAAGCTTCCGAAGATTGGATCTGACTTTTTGAGCTTAAGACTCAAATAAACAAATGAGTGATACCCACCAATGTCTCTGATTGCTTCCTCTTTCCCAAGCCTGCTAAAGACAGCAGAACTTTCTGAGTGGGAACTAGGAAGAAAGCTGGTCGACACTGCAACTCAGAGGTGGTTTATCCCATTGAGGAGGAGAGGAGGGAGAAAGCAGGTAAATCCGAAGACTATGCATCTGTTGGGCTCTATACTCCTATAGGACCTCCTGTGATGGGATATGGCACAAAAGTCCCCAAGCTTGTGCACTGGCCACTCTGACATGTATTCTTGACACATGGAGAGCCCCCAAAGCTGGAAAAAGCAATAAAATCTTTTATCAGTGTCACAGTAAACTCCGGGGCTCCCATGGGCCCCACAGCAGCAGCAATGTCAGGGCAGGGATGCGGGGATGCTGCAGATGAGAGTGTATCTTCTCCAAGGGCTGCTGGGACTAGGGTCACTGTTTATCTTCTACTGAGTCTCAGGGTGGAAATTTAGTTCTCTGGTTGAGCTAAGCCCCCTTCAAGTGCTTCATAGCAGTGTGGAGACATGCTCTGTTGTGCAGAAAGAAAAGCTCATTAGGAATATTGGTACCCATGGGAGACTCCAAGAAAGAGGAACTCCCACATTGGGAGAAAAGGGTTCCACATTTGTTCTGGGCAAGACAAGGGTCCTTGAAAGAGGGGCTATAAGATCTGAAAATTTCTATATATAAGGATTAAATCCAGGAGGGCTATAAAGGAAGTACTATAAGCTATAAGAGGATGAGGAAGAACATACCTAGATTTAGCCAAGCACACTGTCTTTATCAAGACAGGATTATTGGTTGTTTGCCTTGAGTGCATGCATGCTTGAGGTTGACTCTGGCTTTTATAATTGAAATACCACTTGGCTGGGTATAAAATTCTTCCTCTTCATGAGAACTCCACAGACATGGTTCCACTGTTGGTATTGAATATTGTACTAATTCTTTACCATTTTCTTCTTGATTGGCTATATTTCATCATTGAACAGGTTTTGTATTTTTAGTTTTCAAAAAGAACAGGGGTGCTATATTTCATAATATGTTTTATGTTTGAAAACACGTTGCTATGCTTTTATAATTGCATGACAACTTACATGGATATAATTTGCTTGGGTCACATATTCTTTTTCTCGAAGCTCTGTAGACATTCCCCAGTTACCTTCTGGCTGCAAAAGATCCTCCTTGGAATGACTTCTGTATTGCCAATGCCCTGATGTGGTTCCCCAGGGGCCTGAAGAAATACTTCTTGCCACTTGAAGTCTAAGAATTTGACCAGGAAATATCTCAGTGTCCATCATTCTCTATCAGTATTTCCTAGAATATAGTGTACCTTTGTGACCTACAGATTTAGTTCTTTCTTTGTTATAAGGAAATTCTATGCTATTATATCTTTGAATATTTTTTGGTTCTATTTATGGGATTCTCTAATTCAGAGTCACTAATTATCTGTACCTTGCGTAGGTCCATTGAGCTTTTTTTTTCTTTTATTGATACATAATATATACATATGGGGTGCATGTGAATGTTTATTATAAGCACAGACTGTATGATGATGAAGGTATCATTACAAGGTATTTGGGGTATCCACCACCATGAGCATTTATCATTTCTATGTGTTGGTATCATTTCAAGTCCTTTCTTCCTGTTACTTTAAAATATACAAAATATTGTTGATAAGCATAGTCACCTGAGTCTTCTATCAACCATTAGAACTTACTTCTTCTAGCTAAGTATGTATTTGTACTCATTAATCAACTTCTCTTCATTGCCCACCCACCTTCCCTGTCTCTGGTATCTATTAATCATTCTATTCTCTATGCCCATGAGATAAAGTTGTCTTTTTTTTTTTTACGTTTCTATTCACTTTCAATTTATGGATGCTCACATGAATTATCACATTATTGTCTCCCACATAACCCCAGACTCTACACACCTCAAACGAAGTAAAGTTCCTTACCTATCTTTGTTTCCTTAGATCCCAGTACACAGTAGACGTTCAGTAAGTGACTGTGGCATTATCTTGCACGTGACCTTGTTGGTTAGAGTTTAAACTCGATTTTAGTAGAACCCCAGAGCCATTGGAGGTTTTTGATGTAGGTGGCAGTGGTTAACATGACCTGACATGGACACACATCACTCCCAAGTATGGTGGGATGGAGGATAAGGGTGGGGCTCCTGTTGAATGGTCATAGTACCTGGTGCTGGGCAGAGACATGCTGACTTAATAGGAAAAGTAGAGATGGTGGGCAACCATGAATAGTTTATACTCCCCCTAGAAGAAAAATTCAGACTGGCACTTCTACTGGGAGAGCAGGTGGCCAATGGAAAGGAATATGGCCTTTGATTTCAGGAAACCAATTGGAAAGCTCTGTAGGCTCCTTTTCCCCTTGGGTTTTTTTCTTCTTAGATGTGCAATTTTTAAGTTGATTCCTGGCACCAAACTCCCCCAAAGATTGCCATTTTAAACTTTTTGGAAAGATTTTTGTATCCATCAGAATATTTGCAGAAAACAGATGGCACATTCAGAGGGCTTGTTTGAAACGTTTGGTGATGACATGATGTAGTGAGGTGGGAACAGGGCTAAAGTCTCCACCAAGGGATGCAGAAGCACTGGTAGGAAGGTACCACCACGCCTGAGCCTAAAGGGACAAGGACAGATGGTGATGCTGTGGAGCCTATTGAGAATGTTGGCCATTGAAGAGGGGGCTCCATGGAGGTTCTGTGCCCATGGGCAGAGCCCGGCGTTCCTTGACTACAGCACTGGGCAGAACACAGGGAGGCTGGAGTGATGTCTCTCCTCCTCCCTGCCTCTGCTTTCCTCTTCATCCCTCCCACAGGCCAAGCCCAACGAGAAGCCAGAGACATGGAGCCCAAGCGATGCAATCATCCACAGACATCAGCCTCCCGTGTCCTGAGCTTAGTGGCAAATGGCAGAGTGTGGATCTGCAGGGCCCTGATCTACTCCAAGGAGAAAATCTCCCTCATCATTGAATAAACCAAATAATTAAAAAAACAAACTAAATAAATTCCATCTCTCTCCAATTAGATTTATAAGGATGAAAAAGTTTGAAAACTGTATGGGTGAGGGTGTGTAGAGAAAGAGGCACTCTGATACATCGTTGGTGAGAGGGTAACAAGAACAACCTCTAAGAAGGCATATTGACAGCATCTGTCAAAATCACAAGGGCACACACTTTTTTTTTACAAAGAAACTCCACTTCCAGGAAGCCATCTTCCAGATATATTCAAACCTGGACACAATGCTATGCACACAAGGCTATTCATTACTGCATTGTGTGTACTGGCAGAACACTGGCACAAATCCGAACACTCATCAGTGGGGGCTGGTTAAATAAATCATGGTTCACCCGCACAATGGAATACTATGCAGCCATAAAATAAGAATGAAGAGACTTTGTAATGATTTCAAGTTAAGCATAAAAGGCAAAGTGTGGTCCTTTGGATGAAAGGGTTGGGAGAGGAAATGGAACTATAGCAACACGATCCCTTTTGGACCAAGGATAGACACATGAAACTGAAGACATTGATTGGGTCCATCAAGGGGATTGGGTGGCTGGGGAACAGCTTAGCAGGGAGATTTTACTGGATAACTTTTGGGTTTTTGCATAATAAAGATATGTTTTACCTACTCAAAAAATGAATAAAGTCAATGTGTCAAAAAAAATCTTATTTAAAAGCTCATACTTGACCATCTTTGAACAGTGAGAAATTTGTATGAAAAACTGGGTGTGTGAAGTGAAGGAGGCTGGGATTTGAAGCTTCCAGACTCCTGAGGGACCTACTGTGCTTGTCTGGAATAAAGCTGCTCCTCAGCTGAGGCTGGACTCCTGCCTAGGACGTGAGGACCTATGAAACAGTGAAATAACGGAAAGGACCAGATTACACTCCCTAGAAGCTTTTTGGCTTTGAAGTAAAATAGAAACAACCAACGAATCCCTAGCCCGCCCTCTCTCCTAGGATGTGTGTCATTGGAGGGGTGGTGTTAAAGGTGGGAAAATCCTCCGGAGGTTGCTGTTGGGAACTTCCCCTCCTCTGGGTCCCCTTAACACTCACTCATTCGCATCGTCAAGTGGTGATCTCTTTGTTTTATCCTGCCAGATCCCATGAGCAACGACTTACATTGCAAGAGCTTCGATCCCTCCCCACTGCTGACCTTCAGGGCTGCAATCTCTTTATCACTGGATAAGAAAGGAAAGATAGCACATGTCATCATGGTAGCAAACATGAGAATGCTTGTCTTTCCGCTATGTCATATCCACTCTTATCGCACTCCTCTATCTCCTGCCTTTCCATGCCTGTGTCCTCTTGTTGGAGGCTGTTGCAGTTGTTGGAGACGAGAAGCAGGCACATCCTAGGGGCTCCGCCAAGTGTGCCGTGATGGGCAATACTGAATAACCACTGTTGGGGTGCTCACTCCCATCTGGCCACACTGGCCTTCTTGCTATTTGTTCTTTGAGCTTACCAGTGGGGCATCCTTTGTGATGCCTTGGTCCTGCCTGTTCCCTCTGCTTGGCATGGTCTTCCCTTGGGAAACAACATGGCACCTTCCTCAACCTCCTTCAGGCTTCTGCTTACATGTCACCCCCTTCCCCAAATAACCTAAAATGACAATCCCCCATTCCACAAAACCGATTTTAGTTATTTGCCAAATTATCTGCATATGATCTGGAATGTAAACCTCATAAGGGCAGTGATTTTTTTTCCTGTGTTGATTGCTGATGTACCCTCAGTACCTGGAAGAGAGCCTAGCACTTTACCAGGCTCTGTAATTGCTGAATGACTAACCAAGTGAGATACAGACCTTAATCTCACTGCTGTTTCACTTATTGTCTTACTCGTCTCTTTACCTCTGCATCTTGACATCTGGACCATGAGCTCCTGCCACTGCTACAATCCCAGAACCCACCGTGATGCCTGGTGGCCTGCTCATGAGCTATACATGTTTTTGACTGAATAAATGAATAAAGCCTTTTTGTTTTGCAACCTTAATCCCCGATGATTTCCACTCTGTGGATACAGGACTGGCATCAGCCACACTCAAACACCGCAAAGGTCATTTAGGGTCCTTGGCTAACACTTCTTCTATTTGATGTGCCTACTTTTGGCTTTTTAGACACATTTCAGTTTAGGATGTGTGAATGAAATGATGAGCATAGTTCTAGGGATTGGGGAATTGTAGGCAGTGTCTAGATGAAGAAATAGTTTCTGAAAGGTTGACTTCAGGGACCTATCACCTTTGCTTTTGGATTGTGAAGTTTAATTTTTCTTTGAGAAAAGCAGTTGCTGTGATGGATCTTGCTCACATAAGAAAGACAAGCCCCCACTCGTTGACTGTGCACCCTTGTCAGGCACTGTGCTGAGCACTTAATCATAATACATAAATTAATCTAAATGGTGTGGCAACACCATGGGATGGTTATTGTTTTTATACTACATATTCAGGAAAAATAACTGAGCTTTAGAAAGATGGAGATATAGATAACTTGCTCCAGATCCTAGAGCTAAGAAGTGGTGAAACTGGGGTTTAAATTGAAACCTGATGATCTCTAAATCTTCTGCTTAATCTAAAATATCTCTCTGCCATCATCTTACGAAGAATAATGCACCAAGTGGGTCTGTAGCAAGGTGATATATTGGTCAGGGTAAGCTAACTGCTAAGCTAACAAACAACCCCCACCCCTAACTTCAAGGATATAACACCATAATTATTTATTTCTTATTCAAGACATAGTCTCCAAAGGGCCTTTTTGTTCTCCCTCCCTCTCTCTCTCTCTCTGTATATGTGTGTGTGTGTGTGTGTGTGTCTGTGTATGTGTCAGTATATTCACTCTGCTCCATGCCGTCATTCAGAGATTCAGGCTTCTTCCTTCTAATGCCTCCCCCTTAGGCCTTTGGAGTCCTATACTGAATTCTCTGAGTATATCCGGCAGGTGGAGGAACTAAAAGAGGAGAGAACTGGTAGCACTGGGAGGGTTTATAAGCCAGGCCTGGAAGTGTTGTGTATCGCTTCTGATCACCCTCCTTTGGCCGGCACTCGTCACGTGGCTGCCCCTACTGCAAGGAAACTGGGAAATGTAGTCTATGTGCCTGGGAGGAAAAAAAATGTGGTGAACACAAAATTGCCTTTGCCGCAGAAGAGCATGGAGGAGGATGTTCCAGAACAGAGTTGTGTAATTGGGTCTTAGTTTTCCATGCTATTTTTTTTAAGGCAGAGTTATGAGTCAGCCAGAGCAGAAGATAATTAAACAACCACTTATGCAGTAGAAACTCACTTGATCAGAATTCTCTGTTCATGTTCCATTTTTGTTAACATGATATTTTGGTTAAATGAGGGGTGACCAAGAAGTCTTTTGGTTTCAAGTCTTATTGATGAAAATCTTTGCAAGATGTGGTGTTGCACGTTCCTGCCTCAGCAGAATATTTTCTCAGTGACTGAGGATCTCCCAGGGCTTCTGGATTGCCGTTCTGAATAAACATCAGTTTTCAAGACGCAGGCTGGAGTGTGTGAAGGGAAGAGGAGGCCAGCCTGAATCAGCAGTGATCAAAAAATATCTTCTTTGATTTTTTTTTTGATCCTAATTTTTGAGGTTGTTTGTTTTTTTAACTTTATTTTTTCTGATTACAGAAATCATTCATAGTCATTGCAGAAATGCTGGAAAACATAGAAAAGCAAAAATTACAAAACAAAATAACCTCTCATTTTACAACCTAGAACAGCCTCGATTAACATTTTTGGTTACATTTCCTTTATTCATCTTCTTCCCTTTCTTCTCCTTTGGTACCATTGGTATATTTACATAATTGAGTTAATATCATAAATAGAACTTTATATCCTATAGTTTGTCTTGTTATTGACTATACAATGAGAATTTCTCTTTGTTATTAATGCTGCTTTGAAAATATCATTTTAGACTCTTCATAATGTTTCACTATGATTAACCATGGTACTCCTAGCATTTTCTTTTTGTAACAATTGGGCTAACCTTCTTTTTCTCCTTCAATATTATAAGTAGCACTGCAATAGATATATTTGCACATAAACCTTTATTTGCTTCTCTAATTTTTTAAGGATGCTTTCTTTGAAATCACACAACCAGCTCAATGAGCATAATTTTTGTCTCCTTTCTTTTCTTTTTAAGACGGAATCTCACTCTGTCACCCAAGCTGGAGTGCAATGGTGCGATCTCGGCTCACTGCAACCTCTGCCTTCTGGTTTCAAGCAATTCTCCTGCCTCAGCCTCCTGAGTAGCTGGAATTACAGGTGCTTGCCACCATGCCATGCCTGGCTAATTTTTTTTGCATTTTTAGTAGAGACAGGGTTTCACCATGTTGGTCAGGCTTGTCTCGAACTCCTGACCTCGTGATCCACCCTCCTTAGCCTCCCAAAGTGCTGGGATTACAGGTGTGAGCCACTGCGCCCGACGAGCATAAAGATTTTTATGTTTGCAAACCTGACCAATATGAAAGGTTTTCATTTTATTCACTTGCCATGTAAAACACAGAGTCTTTTCATTTGAGCTTACATTTCTTTAATTACTAGTAAGACTTTTTATGTTTATTAGCCACTGCATTTTCTATACCTGATCTGTTCTTATACTTTGCCTGTATTTTCTATGACTCAGTATTTTACATTGATGTTTAGGGACTGTTTATTCATTAAGGATAATGTCTTTGTCATTCTTGTAGAAAATATTTTTCCATTTGTTGCCGCTGTTTTAAACTTACTGTTATCAGCTATTAGCTTGCCAGTTATCTTTTTTGCTCTACAATGAGTTGTAAAGGGACATGTTTCTGGTTAATTGAAAATTATAATTAGTTGACTTCTGGTCAATTAACCAACCAAGATTTTTCTTGCTTTAACTCTGAGACGTTGCAAAAGCAGATAAATTTGAGAACTGCAGGGTTAAACCACGTTAAATAAGTTTCTTTATTGTAGGACTCACCAGAGCCTTTGATAGGCTAATATGCCTATGAATCTCCAAGACAGGTTACTGTACATTTTCTCACTTATTTGATCATAGAGCCCTCTTTTTGAGAAGTATCCTTTGAGTATGCTTAGGCAGAACAGGCTTTGAAAAAAGCTACCTTAACCCAAAACGATTGTGTGTATATTTCAGGCATTGTAACAACCTGGTAGGGAAGATACTTAATGACATAAATAATTAGGCAAGTATATTAACTGCTCACTCATTGTCAAGACCTTTTTTTTTAATTTATCATCTCATCTAATCTTCACAACAGCATTATGGGATGCCATATAGCTACTGCCTAAGAGGTCTAAGATTGAATTCTGATTCCACTATAACCTGTGTGACCACAGGCAACAAACATAGCCTCTCTGTGCCTCAGCTTCCCATTTGTATAACTTGGATAATAATTTCATCTACCTTACAGAGTTGCAGTGAGTATTAAAATAAATAACATTTATATGGCACTTAGGACAGTGTATTGTATATCCTATGTATTCAATTCATACTGAGTGTTTTTATTCTATTACAGTTCAGTAAGCTGAGGCTCAGAGAGCTGAAATAACCTGAACAATATTGTACCAATAATAAGAGGGGGAGGCTGGCTTTGAACACAGATAGCCTGACTTGAGAATTTTATGCTCTAAGTTTATAATCATTTGTGTTGTGTGTCTGTGAAGAGCTTGGCGTTCTCATACATCTTACCATGCAGGCTATAAATAAAGACTGTGTCTTGTGCAGTGGGGTAGGGATGGGCTAGCTTCCCAGTAACATTCTTGCTCTCTCTTCCACGGAGAGTGATATTATTGAAGTAGGGCAGTTGCCACGCCCAGAACTTAGGCCCCCTTGCTACTAACTTGTCCTGGCCATATGACTAATTCTTACCAATTGAATGCATTACTCTGGGATAAGAGTTTTAAATATAAGGGTGCCCTCTTTCTCCTCTCTTCCTGCATTTGACAAATGATCAGATTACTGTGAGGCCCCCAGAAGTGGTGGAATTATAAGACAGAAGGGTCTCCTTGGTCTCTAAATCATCACTAAGAAGAAAGATACTCTCTGATCAGGTTCACCTGCACTTGATTAACAGGTAAGTAAAAATAACCCACTGAAATGTGAAGGTTTGTTATGGCAGCTAGCATGACATCTGCTTACTAGCATGACATTCATTTACTAGTGCAGTGACATCAGTGTAACAGGAGCATGCTTTTCAGGTCTTTCTCAAACATCCTCTGGGCAGACCCAGATACTCTACTAGCTCTCTTGAAGTTATGGCCTAGTTGGATCATTCTATAATAGTTCTGGGTTGGACCCAAAACACAAATGCTGACAGAATGAGCTTGGAATGGGCGACTTGCTACCAAATGACATTGCCTTTGAGAAACTTCTGGACACAGAGAGAAAGGGAG